ACCCGGCCGTCTCCGGTGAGCCTCTCCCTCCTCTTCCTCCCCCCGTTTCCTGGCCGCGGCGCGCTCCGGGCGTGCGGGCTCGTTTGGTTGGCGGTGCCGGCCGCAGTTAGTCGCAGAGTCGTAACCGCTTTTGCCTTGTGGCCGTGCTCGTAGGTGTTCTGGGAGCCGCTCGTGGCTGGCGCCGGGATGGAGCCGGTCGGGGCGCGCCGGTCGCCCGGATCTCGCCGTCGGTGCGTCGTCTCCCTCAGGTGAGGACTCGGCCCTGTTTCTCCCGTCTCCCTTTCCTCTGTTTGCGCTGTGAAGGAAGGTGGGCGGAGTGATCTGCTTTTTTTTTTCTTTCTTTTGGGGGGACTTTACCAACTGAAGTGCCATGACTCGTCCAGTGATGAGTGACATTGTACCCAAGGAACTTAAATTCCGTTTTGTCTGACGGTGACAGTGGCTGCTGAATTGGTTGGGGAAATGTCTTTGTCACCTTTCCTGTTAGTGATGTGAGATGGTTCCGAACGACAGAATGTGTGGTTTTTACATCGTTTTCATGGCTCGAACGGCCACCGGACGTGTGCTCCGTTTTACTGGTGCATCGATTGGCTTGCGGTGGGCATAGGAAGGTGTTTTAGCCGGGTTTATCCTGTAAATCTGGGATTATTTTCTAGTTTCAGTCTTTCTCCATGTTCTTTCGGCGAAGCTAAGAATCAGTTTGCGTGTTCTATGTGAATCTGTTGTAAAATCGGACCGTTAATTTTGGACTGTTTCTCATGCCTTGGATCTAGAACTGACGGATAGTAGGTATAATGTGCTACCAGGTTGTATGCTACGGCGATTTTGTTGTGCAGCTTGTTGAGATTTCATATTTCGTGGCCTTTGTCTTCGTGCATTAAAGGATGTTAGTACAATGTTTACGGCATTCATTTATTGAAGCAAATAGTAACTAATTGTCATGGGCTTTTTTTTATTGTGGAGCTCCATGACCATGAGCTTTTTTGGTCGATTGGCTGTCCGAGTTCCTGAAGAACAAATCATACGGCCATTGTCTTGTTGATTGATGCAGTTTCTCACCTTTTTGCTGCTGATGTTCAGTTCCTTGCTTGATTCTGGATACTGTTAAGTTGTAATAAAATTATCGAAGTATTTTCTGTGCAAATAGTCAGCAACAAGAGTTAACGTTCCTGTATGAATCTGATGTTGAACTCTGTACCGGTCGCTGTGGTGAAAGTATACATATTGTCTGCTGTTTTTCTTTTTGATCGAGAATATTTGTGAAACGTTTCAAATAACCTTGTGATTGTTTTGATCTTCATCTCAATATATTTTCCAGGGGCAGCCTTTGAACCTCTGAACTTTTGTGTCCTTGGGTCTGCGGTGATAAGTCAGAGAAAACAATGGAAGATTTACAAGATTGCAACTCCAAAAGCCTTGTTGCTGTTCCTGGTTCTCTGGTTCTGCACCTCTTCAGGCTGTTAGGTCAGCAGGATAATTCCTGGCAGAAGTACGCCTTGGCTTACTTTCTTCTGGTCAGGAATGAGTACTTCCCGAGGGAGCCAAGGAAACACTCAGCTGTGAATGTGCAACTTGTTCCCTGCTGTGACAGTTCAGATTTGGGCAGTAATGAACTGGAAGTGGAGAAGCAGAATGCTGTTGTCAAGAGCCAATCAGGAGGTGATTCCAGTTCCAATGGATCAAATGATTGTTTCCTTCCAGGCCTTCATGATGATCTGGCTCAAGACTGCCTTGCCTGGACAAGCAGATCAGACTATCCCTCACTCTCTTGTCTGAACAAGAAATTCAATACATTGGTTAACGGTGGATATCTGTACAAGCTGCGGAGGAAATATGGCATTGTTGAGCATTGGGTGTATCTGGCCTGTAGCGCTATGCCCTGGGAAGCATTCGATCCGTCGCGAAACCGATGGATGAGGCTCCCAAGAATGCCATGTGATGACTGCTTCTCCTGTGCGGACAAGGAGTCACTTGCTGTTGGGACACAGCTGCTTGTCTTTGGCCGAGAATATACAGGCCTTGCTATTTGGATGTACAATTTACTGACACGCCATTGGTCTCGCTGCACTCCGATGAATTTTCCTCGCTGTCTGTTTGCCTCAGGAAGTTCTGGTGAGATTGCCATTGTTGCTGGTGGGTGTGATAGGAACGGGCAGGTGCTGAGATCTGCGGAGCTGTACAATTCAGAGGCTGGCCAGTGGGAGACCTTGCCAGACATGAACTTGCCCAGGAGACTCTCCTCAGGTTTCTTCATGGATGGCAAGTTCTATGTCATCGGGGGTGTGACGAGTGAGAGGCATTCTCTGACTTGTGGAGAGGAATACGATCTCGACACCAGGACATGGAGAAGAATACAGGACATGTACCCCGGAGGAACCAGCGCCTCCCAGTCGCCTCCGCTCATCGCCGTTGTAAATAACCAGCTCTACGCGGCTGACCAGTCCACAAACGTGGTGAAGAAGTACGACAAGGCAAGCAACACATGGAACATAGTGAAGCCCTTGCCCGTCAGAGCGGACTCTTCCAACGGCTGGGGCCTGGCTTTCAAGGGATGCGGCGATAGACTGCTGGTCATCGGCGGCCACAGAGGACCTCGCGGCGAGGTGATACTGCTGCATTCCTGGTGCCCGGAAGATGGGAACGGCGCCGCTTCCGACTCCGACTGGGAGGTGCTCTCGGTGAAGGAGCGCGCCGGCGTCTTCGTCTACAACTGTGCAATAATGGGGTGCTGAGTTAGCAGCACCTTGGCTTCAGTACATGCCACCACATGTTTAGCAAAACCCACCGATTCGTTGCTGCCATTTTAGCTGCTGCTACTTCTTATAATGACTTGTAATTCAGAAATGACACCCCCTTTTCGCGGAGCTGTCGATTAAAATGTCGGGTCGAGAGCATAGAGAGCATTCAGTTCAGTTTACCTGGAACTTCTCTTTTAACACTCTTCATTCAAAAGTCCTTAATTCTTGTTGTCTAGCATGAATCTTTTTTCCACGCAGTATTCTTTGTTCATCATCCTTGCTGAACGAACACTTGTTATTCTGCTGGGCCGAGCCGAATCGCATCTTTCAGTTGCATATATTGTCTGTATCCCATACGTATAGATCAGTAGATTCTGCTCTACTAAAGAGTATGTGTGTGTGTATCTATTGTTGAGAGTCGAGCAGTAAACTTTTTTGCACTTTGCTGGTCCATGCAAAGTGTCGGTGGTACGTAGGCTCAAGGGGAGGGAAGGGACCAAATCAATTAGAGAGAACGGGACGGGACCAAATAATTGTAATCGCCAGATGCTCACACTGTTGTGCCCTGCCGCCCCTGCTCCAACTTGCCCTGCTGCTGTGTTTCTCTGCGCCGTACCGCCAATTCTCTCTCAGTCTCGGACATTTCTTTCGCGGTACAGCTTGACAGATACAGGTGGTGGTGGCGGCAAAAAGGCTGCATCGCGTACTTGGCGTACAATCTCCCCAGCTTCCTCGCGTACTTTCTGAGGTGAGAATCCTGGGGAAAATATGCAGCGGTAGGAGGAGGGAGTACAATCTCCCCAGCTTCCTCGCGTACTTGGCGTACTTCCGGTTGCGCGACGCGGCCGGGTTTCATTTGTCACCGCAACAGTTTGACCCGGGGCCTTTTTTGGGTCGCTTTTATGATTATTTTTTTTGAATTTTCTGCCTCGCTTTTGATGATTCTTCAGCTCGGTTTTGTCAACCGGGTTTACTTCGCCCGTGGTTTTGCAGGACGTGTCTCCGGCGCAGCGCAGTGTCCGGCGTACACTGAGTTGACGATGCAATCCGTTCGATCGCTCGCTGTCTCCCACTGTCTCTCTGAGTTGACGATGCAATCCGTTCGATCGCTCGCTGTCTCCCACTTTAACGAGTTGACGATGGGAGCCGTTCAACAGGGCCATATGGTTTGACATGTTCACGCCACGACGATTTCGCCGGCTACGACTTACGGCAGGTTGACATGATGATTTTTGGAAATTTTTGATCCGTTCTTCACTTCTTTCTCAAACACGCTCAGCCCGTCGCCGTCTGCCGAGGCGTGGAACTGCTTGACCGTATCCCTGTAATCGCGCGTGATTTGCACGTAGCCAGTTCTCTCCGATGCCGACACCGGCGTGGCGTGGTCGTTTCGTCAGGCGTGGCTCAGAACCGCAGCCCGTTTCAAGGTGTGAGATTGCAGATGAATTTGGTCGATGTGTGTCCATTCCAAATTGTTCACAACACACCATGCCTCCTCGAGGTCATGCTTGGCCTCAAGGATTGGGGATCCATCCAGACCAGCAGGCCGACCCATGTCAGTCATCATAACAGTGAACACTGAAGTCTGACGGCAATGCAACACAGTAGTGGTTCAGAGATGTGAATCATATCTTGCAAGAACCTATGTTGATCATCTCCACCTCCAGATATTTACATCGTACACAACAAGCAAACGACAGGTTGCCCCGTTAACCCAACCCCTCCTCGTGGAATCAAAAAAGAAAAAAAAACAAAGCAATATATCCTCCAAAAATTGCAGGCATATCTATCACCACAACAATGTACAAATCGAACGCCGCTAATTTCCTGGCCAACTCTTCATACAGATGTCTGCGTGTGATTCTCCGACGACGAGAAGGGCTCAGATATTTCCGTGGTGGAGAAGGACCTCGACGTGTTGGACCGCGCCTGGTTCGCTCCGTGCGGTTTGGTGCTGACCTTGAGCTCCGCAAAGTCGGTGATCATGGCTGGCCTGGTGATCTTCTCCATGGAGACGCTCTTGCTTCCTGTGAGCATCCTCACGACGGTGGGCATGTGGGGGCGGCGCGCCATTGCGTCCTGTGTGCATAGCAGGCCGATCTTCAGGAACCGGCATGCCTCCTCGATGTCCAGGTCTTCGTCTATGTCGGCATCTATGATCTCTTCTAGACGCTCTTGCTCATAGAATGCCCATGTCTGTAGAAAAGTTGCAGCAGATTTTGTCAAATTCAGCATTATTCTTCGAACGTTCGCTCGGTGAACTTATGGTATAGTTGCTTCAGTATGCAACTGACACCATTTTGTATTCAGGTTATCAATAAACGCTTGCAAATAAGTAGAGCTTACCTTCTCAAGGAGGAATTGATCTTCACAAGGCAATCTTGTGTTGGTGTTACATCTGCCACTGACGATTTCCAAGAGAAGAACTCCATAACTATAGATGTCGGACTTCTTCGTCACTTGACCTCGGATAGCATATTCAGGAGCCAAGTATCCTCTGAAAAGAAGTGAAATTACTAGTCAGAACAGAAAATACAGTATGTGAAAGAAGGCTGTCAAATCAGGGGTTGGGTTATGCTTACAATGTGCCTGCCACCCGGGTGCTAACATGAGTTGCATTGGCAGGAAGAAGCCTCGCCAATCCAAAATCAGAAATTTTCGGGGTGAGGTCCTTGTCGAGAAGAATGTTGCTCGCTTTTATGTCGCGGTGGATAATGTGAGGACGGATTTCCTCATGAAGAAATGCAAGTCCACGGGCAACGCCCACGGCAATTTTGACACGAGCCCTCCAGTTGAACTGGATGCTGCTGTAGCCAGACCCTGCAATAGCACATGCAGAACATCTGTAAGTACGAGAACCAATGAAGGGATCGACGAACAGCAGAAATGCTCGGTAGGACAAAGTGTTAGTACCTAGCAATGTCTGTGAAAGGCTGTTTTTCTCAAGATAATTGTAAACGAGGATCCTATGGGACCCTTCAGCACAGCATCCGACAAGCGTGACCAGGTTTTCATGCTTGATGTCTGAAATTGCTGTAAGTTCAGTTAAGAACTCTCGGACACCTTGCCTTGAAGTGGCTGACAGAACCTTCACTGCGATTAGTGTGCCGTCTTTGAGCATTCCCTGGTGAAGCAAAATGAAATGTTAGCAAAAGGTGTTTGATAATTTTGACCTTTTTTAGGCATTGACGAAGTGGTCAGTAACCTGTGCATAATTACCCTGAATACGGAACCAAAACCACCCTCTCCAATCTTGTTTGCCCCACTGAAATCTTGAGTTGCCTTTCTCAACTCATTGTAAGAAAAGACCTTCACACTATGTTCACCTGAGATTAAGAAACAATAAAGGAAGAAAGCGTATAAGAACGGAGAATCGCTTGAGCATGGAAGGGACCAGGCAAATACGTGCAAAAGATGCTCACCATCATCGCCTTCAACAGCATGTTGAGATCTCCGTCCGAACATAAAGCAGCAATCCATGTTGACAACAAACTAGAAGGAATTTCTGCAAGAAATATATGTAGCAGGCTGTCAGATAAGAATTGTATACTTTGTAATGCAAGTATGCAACAATAGATGAATCCAAAACAGAGGCCTATAAGCAACACACTAACTTAGTGATCGCTGACCCCAAGTATCAATTATTGGTGTGAACAGCAAGACACAAATTTTAAAAGACAAATTGAACAACAGTTTTGCTTTTCATTATTGGAATCCAAATTCTTTAAGAGAAAGCTGAAGCTGAACTACCGTTTTGCTTAACTACCTAGCCATATTATCCTAACTCACTAGGCCATGATTACGCAGTACGGCACGGGCAAGATAATATGGAAAATGTGAAGCAACCAAGGCTTTAGTAGAGAAGCCATCCCTCCCATTTGCTGATCATTTTGCAGAAATGGAAAATTTGGTTGTCACAAGTAAACGCGGCCCTATCTCTCTGAAAGAAACAAAGCACCTAACACAACCGCTGGAGCTGAACCAGCTAATCACAAAGTTGAAGATCAGAAATATCATAATAAGCCAACCCATTCGGAAATGGAGTTGGATTGGGACACAGAGCAAAGGCAATTGATTGTTGTACATGGAGAATTGCACCCGAAATATTGCTTCGAAAAAAAATTGCACCCGCAATCGGAAAGTCCTTACGAACCAAACCCTGAATTTGGCTAGAGAAACTGACGTGAAAAACAGAGAGAGAATCTCAAAGGCAAGCCATGAAAACTTGTCCCCGCTCTCCCCTAGGATAAGATCCCGGAAAGAAGCAAAGACGGCCATGGGATGAATCTCGATCTGAGACGGCGTCTCAAAGACGGCCAATCCACCGAACCAAACCCGTCCACCCCCCAAAACAGACGACTAGCTGGATCCGGAGCTGGAAGAAAGAAGACAGAGCGAGAGCGCAAGAATCACCTTGCAGATAGATAGATAGCAGCGCCGAGGATCAATCGATCAAGCCTGGCTCGCTCCCTGCGCTAGCGACCGGCTGATAAACAACGAGGACAGCGCCAACCAGTGGGTGAGCACGAGGTAAGGCGAGAGGAGGCGGTGGCGTACAAGATGGCGGTGGCGGGCGCAGTTAAGAATGGATGAGGGGGAGGGTGGAGGTGGAGGAGTAGGCGGAGAAGGATATGAAGAGGAAGAAGGCGGTGAGAAGGATCTGGGGAGCACCACGGCACGAGGCTTTGACTTTCTCTCCCTCCCGTTCCTCTTCTTCCTACTCCTGCTGCTGCCGCTCACCTCACCCCCAGCCTCTGCGTGCTTCCAAGTCTCCTGCCCTGGTTGTATTTTAGCCGGAAAAAATGGGCCGTTTGTTTATTCGTGTCTCCTTTTGCTTTTGTTTGGCGGTTGCGACCTGGAAAAACGACGAGGTGTCGATCGAGTTAGTTAAAATATCGTTGGGACGCAGAGTGGATGGGGGGCGACGGTTTTTTCCCCGCGTGCGCGTTCGACTGGCCTCGTGGGCACGTCCGTCGGGGGCAGCAACGCGGAAGCAGCCACGACCGGCTCCCTCCCTCACGGTCAGCACTCAGCGGCGCCCGTTGGCGTTGCCCCCACGTCCACTTCGCCGGAGGGTCTCGCCCTGCCGCCGATGTGGCGCGTTCCTGTGAGGCGATGGGATCGGTGTACTGTAGACGAGACTCTTTTTTTTTGAGAGAGAACATACTGTAGACGAGACTTGTGCACGCACGGCGACGGCGAAAACATGTCGTCCACGCCACGGACCTACGGGCACTGTACCTATGCGTTGTACTTGTAGACTTGTAGGAACGCATTGCCGCAGCGGATTCTAACGTGACGAAGGACGTGTACGAGTCCGGACCTCCGCAAAGCCCCAGTTTGCAGAGAAAGGGACGTCTGGCCCGGTCCATGAATGAGTGCTGGAGTGCGTTGGATGACAAAACACATTTGGATTATGCCGTCCGGACGAAAGAGATGGTTTATGGGTTCACATTGAAGATGTCGTTGGACGATCTTCAACATCGACCCTCAGAACTCCCGCATACGTCTGAACATACTTGTTGGACACAATTTGTCATCCAATGGGTACCCATTGTTCGCGAACTAGTCTGGATATCTGAAATCCCGCACACCGTATGAAAAACCAGGGGAGGCTTTGCGGGCGTCTCGACTGCTGCCACATACACGTCCGATAGCTTGGACCCATCCAAAAACCTCGCACGCGCCCGCTGTCGGTGTCAAAACCGGCGGATCTCGGGTAGGGGGTCCCGAACTGTGCGTCTAAGGTCGATGGTAACAGGAGACGAGGGACACGATGTTTACCCAGGTTCGGGCCCTCTCTATGGAGGTAATACCCTACTTCCTGCTTGATTGATCTTGATTAATATGAATATTACAAGAGTTGATCTACCACGAGATCGTAATGGTTAAACCCTAGAAGTCTAGCCTATGGAGATTATGATTGTGTATATCTGCCTCTACGGACTAAGCCCTCCGGTTTATATAGACACCGGAGGGGACTAGGGTTGTACAAAGTCGGTTACAAAGAAAGGAATCTTCATATCCGGTCGCCAAGCTTGCCTTCCACATCAAGGAGAGTACCATCCGGACACGGGAGAGAGTCTTCTGCTTGTATCTTCATAGTCCATCAGTCCGGCTCACATCAATAGTCCGGCTGTCCGAGGACCCCTTAATCCGGGACTCCCTCAGTAGCCCCTGAATCAGGCTTCAATGACGAGGTGTCCGGCGTGCAGATTGTCTTTGACATTGCAAGGCGGGTTCCTCCTCCGAATACTCCAAATCTTCCTTCGAACACAGGAAACGTGTCTGGCTCTGCAAAACAAATACCACACACAACCGTAGAGAGTATAATACTTCACGACTCCAATCTGCTGGCAACTTTTCATAGCGTGACATCACGTCGCCGTCCGGTCATTATTCGAACTGTTTTCTAGCCCACCGCTCCATATTTCAGATGCGGTTTCATTGACACGTCTTGTCAAAGCAGAGATCGTGTCCCCTTATTACGGGATTCTCATCAATACGGCCATGGGCAATCCCACCGTACCGTCTGCACGGCCCTCGGGGATAAGCGAGTTTTTAGGGCAAGTGGGGAGGCGCTTGATATTCACTGCCTTTATAAAGAGATAATGATCCACCTCTTTCACCCACGCCTTCTTTCTCTCTGCTTCCCCCATTCTCGAGCTCCAGCGCCCAAGTTCTCATCTTTTCCGCCCCCAAAAAGCACTCCAGCCATGTCCGGATCCGGAGCGCAGGGCAAGTGGATGGTCTCCTCCGTCAAGGAGAAGGACATCACAAAGCTCCGGGAGGCCGGGTATCTGGCCAAGGAGATCGCACACCGACTTCCAGCCGAGGGACAAATCGTCCCCACTCTGGAGCCCCATAAGAGGGTCGTATTCCTCTCCCACTTTGTCCGTGGGCTGGGATTTCCTCTCCACCCATTCGTCCGTGGACTCATGTACTACTACAGGTTAGATTTCCATGATCTATCCCCAAATTCTCTCCTCAACATCTCGGCGTTCATCGTCGTGTGCGAGGCTTTCCTTCGCATCCCTCCACATTTCGGATTGTGGTTAAAGACCTTCAATGTGAAGTCGAAGGTGGTGGGCGGCCAACACGCAGAGTGCGGAGGCGCCATGGTGAGCAAGATGCTCAACGTCACATGGCCATCAGGTACATTTATCAAGACCATCAAAGGGTGGCAAAAACAGTGGTTCTACATCACTGAGCCGCGCGACACCACCTGGGTCGCGACTCCCAAATTCCGATCCGGAGCTCCGATGCGGCTCACCTCCTAGCCCGAGAAGGGCCTGGACTGGTCTTCGTCACACGAGCTGACAGTGCTCCAGGTGCGTATCAAGAACATGGTGGACAAGAGCATCAAGCTTGTCAACGTGATCCAGGTGATGCTAGTTCGCCGGATCCTTCCATGCCAAAGCCGGACTTGCCATCTATGGGAGTTTGATCCAGCCGAGCACCATACCCTACTGGAGTTCTTCGGCACGACGCAGGAAGACATCTGGAAGGTGCTATCCAAGTCCGGCAAGACGTGGCCGGACACGGCCGAGGATCGTGGGCACAGATTGGCCAGTCCCGCTAGTTCGGTAAGTCTTTACATGTTTTCAAGGTGTATCCTTTACTCGCATACTTGAGGGAAACACCTAAACTTCCCTACTGATTTTCTCAAGGCTGGACAAAGAAGGCGGAGCGGATTCATTATCCGGCTCCGCTGCCCGAAGACCCAGCAATTCCACTTCTGACAAAGATGCTGGTTCCGGTGCCCTATAAAGCACCGAAGAAGAAGGCCAAGAAGGAGGCCAAGGAGACCAGGGGCGGTCTCCATCGTAAGGGCACTTCGGACATGACGTCCGAAGACGCCGAGGACGACGAGGAAGAGGGGGAAGAAGAAGAAATCCATTCCCCCCTGCAGGGGGGGGGGGAGAAGAGGACGACCTCCACACGTTTGGAGGCCAAAGCGTCTAAGAAGGGGAAAGCTTCCCTTCCGGATGACTCCACCACGGCCACCTACAATAGCTCGGAGTGGACTCCCAGGGTCAAGCCCCTGGCAAAATTGTGAGTACTAAAAAACCCGGATACGTTCATATATTCGGCCTCACTATTGTATAGTATTGACGTGTCGGATCACGTATTTGCAGTCTGGCTCGGTCCAATCTCAAGCGATCCTCATCGGAGGATTAGCTGGACCCGGAGGTGATGGACAGCGGGACCCTTCCGGCGGCTTCCTCTCCCAAGGCCATGGATAACACCGAGGTGTCGTCCCGAAGGATCCCAGGCCAGGGAGAGGCTTAGGAGGCCGTCAGGGAGGCGCCAGAGGGTAAAACCTCGGCAGCCAGACACATGGGGGAGCAAACCCCCATGAATACTGACGATGGGGGCCAGATCAAATTTGGCCCCCAACCGAATACAATTCCGGAGACCCATACGGCTCCGGAATCAGGAAAGCAACCTCTTTCAAGAGAAGGGGGTGTGCCTATTCC